TTAGAGATTCTACGAGAAGTATTGGAATTTTATATTTATATCTATACTAATAAAAGGGTAATATGCTATTTAGACTGGGAGACCTTCCAGACAAAGCCATGGTGGCGGGGCTGAGACAGAGGCAGTTGGGGGTGATCAGGCCAGAAGGGGAGGGCAGTTGGGGGCGATCAGGCTTAGTGGGGAGGCAGTTGGGGGCGAGAAGGCCGGCTGGGGCGGGGGGTGAGTTGAGGGCGAGCAGGCCAGCAGGTAGAGTGGTTAGGGGCGATCAGGCAGGCAGGCAGGTGAGCAGTTAGGAGCCAGTAGTCCCGGATTGCGAGAGGGATGCCCGACTGCCGGTTTAGGCCCAATCCCTGTGGACATCCCCTGAGGGGCCCCAGATTGGAGAGGGTGCAGGCTGGGCTGAGGGACAACCCCCAACCCATGCATAAATTTCATGCACCGGGCCACTAGTTGGAAATAAGATGCCAGATTGAGTCACTTCTGATGATGATGCTACATAAGCTAACTCAAAGGGTGGCCACTAGAACTCAAAAGGATTTTGAGCCTAGCTATCATGGCTCAGTGGTTGAGCATTGACCTATGAACTAAGAGGTCACAGTTTGATTCCTGGTCAGGGCATATGCCCAAGTTGTGGGCTCAATCCCCAGTATGGGGTGTGCAGGATGCAGCTGATCGATGAGTCTCTCTCATCATTGATGTTTCTATCTCTATTTCTCCCTCTCTGAAATCAATAGAAATATATATTTTTTTAAAAAGGATTTTGATGAATTTCTATAAAATAATTTACATACCATCATATAAGTACCAGATGTTTGTCACACACAGGGAGTGACACATTCAACAATTTCAGCGAATGTATTTGATGTTCAGCTGTGTACATACCCCCTCCCATCTTCACATCCCCTCACCAGCACCCTTAATATTAAACATAAGTAGAGTAAACTCAGATGTGAAATAAAATCCATCTTCTAATGAAAAATAAGGCAGCTGTGAAATAATGATATTTTTTAAAATAAGAAAATAGTGATTGGACCACAGCTGATTGGATTAAAGAAAAGCAGGTTATTTAATTATGGTTATTGTCTGTGTGAATTTTTATGGAAAGAAAGGAACTATTGTTAGGACAATGAACTCTCAAACCCAGAGTGGTGGCTATATTTAGAACTTCTCTGGGTTATATCTTTGTCTTTCCAGCTGCCTTTCTTGAATCATCAATCTTATCTATTAGAATGTGAGGTTGCTAAGAGTTCATCATAATTCAGAAAGCTAAATCACCAAGAGGATGGTCATGGCTGATTTTGAATGGTTTTCATGACAATTGATTATTTTGGCTTTAAGATGACCAGAGATCAATATATTTCTTGACAAATGTCTATAGAGGTAGGGAAACCTGGTGTTGTAGATGGGCAGAAATGGCACCAGGTGTTAGATGCATGGGGTCAGACTGGACCTGGGTTCAGCAACCTCGGTACTTGAGTTCTGGGTAGGGAAGAATTAGAGCCAAGACTTCAACCATAAGAGAACATTTATTTATAAAGTCATAGAGGTGGAAGAAGTAATTCATAGAAGAAATAGGCTTAGGAAACAAGTTATAGAGGTAAAGGAAAGACCCTTAGAGCTTGGGAGTGAGGAAGACAATAGTAATATGGAATTTGGGGCAGGAGGTCTAGGGAAAGGGAAGCAAAAGGCTTGAACATGTTTCTACGAGGGAGAGTGCACTGGATCCATGTCCTAAGGGTTTAAGGGTGGAGATTTTAGGGGAAGTCCCATGGGAAAATCTTAACAGAAAATTCAGCAGCTTTCCAGGTGTGTCCTTTCAAGATTGTAGTCTCCACTGATTGATTGGTTGGTGACAGGGCAGGAGATCATTATTCAATGCAGCTGGTCCTGAGGTCAGTCTTGGGGTCACTGGTCTGATTTTGTTGCTTTTCTGGGTCTGGAGCTGAAATATAACTGAGGCCTAGATATCTCTAGGGAGGAAAGGTCAGGGGTCCAAACTTCATGTCCATGGATATGCTAGGGGTTGAAAGGTCACCCTGTGGGTGAGGTCTCACCTTACAATTGTCTTTTGCTAGGCACCTGGGGCTTTCTGCCCTGGTGACCTTCTGTACCTGGCTCATTGTCCTAGCTATGCTCATGTCTGTTTAACTGCCTACCACAGTGGTAGGTTGTTTAGTGTCTATCATTTAATTCATTCATTTCCTTCTCCTTGCCTCTGCACTTCCTGCTCCTCCTTCTCCCTGGAACACTTTTTCCCTTTGTGTCCACTTGCATGCTTCTATGGTGTATTTTTCATATAATAGACATCATAGTCATCTGTGAAATGTCTATAGTCCTTCAGCTCCAATTCTCTGGCAAACCGCTTATTCCTTCCTCTGTGCTGCATCACACTTTCTGCACATTGCCCCATTCTGTAGTCATGTGTTTGTGCTTCCCACACTCTTACTGCTCTTGATATCCTCACCACTTAATGCAGAACTTAGCAGATGAGTAGTATTAAGTGTCCACTGAATGAATGTCCATTAGGTTGAATAACAGTGTTCACAGGTAGCATGCTGATTAAATAGATTATGCTACAACCTTACCATGGAATATCATAAAGCCATTGAAAATGATGTGGTAGAAAAATATCTTGACTTGGAAAAATAGCCGTAGAACTAAACAAAAAGAAGCTCATCAAACATAGAAGTAATATGACCACATTTTTATAATAACAAAACACGCACACCATATTCACATACATTTAGAATAAGAAAAAACTCTGGGAGGCTATTAGTGGTTATTTCCTAATGGTGGTCTTATGGAGATTTTATTTTCTTCTCTAACCTTTTCTGCATCTTATGAATTTTCAATAGGCATCTATTACTTTTATATATAGAAACACAGATACTCCCTAAAAGAAATCATAAAAGTCTTGATGGAGATAGAGCAAAAACACAACTGGATGGATTTGGCGGTGGCGACATTAACTACACACTTAATATTCTAGGGTGACAAGTGACTTACTCTGCCTACCAGACCAGAAAGTAAAATAAAAGTCACTAGTATAAAAAAAAGAGGAAATGATTAAATCAAGAGAAATTTACACATTGAGGCATGCAGGCAGAAAAGGCTTCTCTAGTGTTCAGAATAACAAATATTTTAAAGGGTCTGGAAGATAGATACAGCAGGTGAGACTAAAAAGATAGATCAAGGAAAATGTCATTATTAACTGAGTAGGCCTCACCCATAAGAAAGGTGTACTTACAGACTTGAAGTCCTTCTGAGTCTCCTGACACAGACACCAGCAGAGTGAGCAGTGATGCTTCTGAGACAGAAGGCTATCTCCTTCCAATCATCAGGTATGGGAAGGTCTCTGTTAGGGCATTCCCCATAGATACTAAGGGAGAAAGTACTTCCCCAACATTGGCAGTGAGAGTTCTCATAGTGCAGGGGAGGCTGTTTTATCAGAGTTCTGGGTACCTTCTGATTTTAATTTTAATGAGTCCCAGTTCTAATCATTTTGTGAGGTTGTCACTCATCCGTACTAAACCCGGTGGCAGTAATGTTAGAAAGAAAAATTAAATGAAATGTCAAGTATCCCAGTGTGGTAAATAAGAGAATCTGCAGCTTTATAGCACAGCAGGAAGTTTTATGCAATTACATGGGGAGGTTGCTAATGCGTTTCATTGTCATTGAAAAAAGAAAACTTTTTTTATGACAGATCATGCATATGCCTTTGGGGCCTTTCTATCTGAGACCTTGGATGCTTCCTGTGTTGGGTACCTAAATTCCAATCAATTGCTCCTTCCTTTAAGTCAGCTGTTATTAATACTTAGGATTCTTCTAGTTAACTTCTTTTCTACCTGGCAACTAAATTGTATCCTAAAAAAAAAAATTTGAAAAGCAGGAATATGGCAGTCAGAGAATAAAGTTCTAGAGTTATTTCAAATCTGCCTATGCACTCTTGGAATGTTTAATCATTTCCAAACTGAAGAGCCATTTGTAAGTTTGACAGGAAGAGTTTATTTAAATAGCTCTGCTTCATGCACCTTTGGACATCAAGATCTGAAGGGCCCTTCAGCTTGAAAGTGGATGTGGCATTGAACATGACTCAATGGATAGTGAGTAAAACATTAAGTGTCCTTAGAGTATTTGAAACTGTTTAGTGCAACCATTGTCCAGAGTACCCATTAACTTTCAGATTGCAACATTAGGAAATCAGAGAGTTTTTACAGCAACTTAAAATCACCTGATTATTTGTCTGGAATTTAGTTAGATTTAGCGTTCCCAGATAACACCCAGTTAAATTTGTATTTCAAGTAAGCCATGACCTAGTTGTAGTATGTCCCAAATATTACATGGGACATATTTATATTAAAAATATTTGTTGTTTATCTGAAATTCAAATCTAAGAATCAAAAATCCTTACTCTGCACTCCTCATCTCTACTCCATTCCAGATTACAAATCTAGGGCCCATTTCCCTAACCACAACACTCACAGTGCTTTCAAAGTCAGTATTGTTCTGATCTGCATTCTATTTGAAGGAGGTAGAATGCTAAATAGTGATGGAAAATAGGACCATGTTAGACTTGAGTTCTAGTCCAGGCCTCTCAAGTCTCCAATATGTGAGATTATCTTGTTTGCCTTGATTTTCTATTTGTAAAATGGCATATATTGATATGTTGTTTGGAAAAGGTTTTTAAACTCTCAGAAAATACAGCAACATGATATTGAACCCTGTTTTGTCTTTTGCACCAGGGATTAAACAATCATGGTTGCAGCAATGAGAAAGGTCTTTCCTGGCAATTGCCTACCTAGAGCAATTGCTGTCTTCTCCCATTTGTGCCTTTTGTTAGAGGAATGGTAGGGGGATTTTGGGGGTTGTTGATGCCAGAGGAATTAGGGTCTATTGATCCCAGGTTGGTAGAAACTACACTGTGGAGCCCACAGGGGAAGATGCTCCAGGTGATGGCAGTGCAGGGATGGGCAGCTGACCTCATGTGTATTGTCTTGCAGGTGGACTTGGGCCTTCTGCGCTTTGTCACTGCTGTTGGGACACAGGGAGCTATTTCAAAGGAAACCAAGAAGAAATACTACGTCAAGACTTACAGAATAGACATTAGCTCCAATGGGGAAGACTGGATCACCATAAAAGGAGGAAACAAGCCTGTTGTAAGTTTGGCTGCCATCCCTTCAACCAATTTAGTCTTTGAAATGGACGATCAATTTTACTTGTTTGGGAGCTTTCAGTCTGGTCTGGTTAATTTTTTAATTGATTTAAAATGAAAAGAGCAATTAGAGGTTTAAAGCTGACCAAAGGGGTCTCATGTTCCCAGATCAAGAAGCCAAAAGCAAATTATATGAATGTGTCCAAGAAAAGTCAATACCAGCCAAATTAAGTGTCAGACTCAAGAATCACTTTATACATCCCACAAGGACAAGGACTATGCATAAGATGAATACTGTCCTCTTAGAATCATAGGAGTTGTTTTGTTTTCCCTGTGTTTCTCCATTCTCTTTCATGGATTTATTCTTCCTCTCTGTAACAGACTGGTTTTAGAAAAGTCCTTTCCATCTATCCTCTGTGGCTCACAAACTAATTTGCAAGTGTGTTTGGCTGCTTCTGTGAGAATACACTGTAAATAGAACCAAGTTAGTCCATAATGTTCCCTAAGATCACATACATGCCACCTCCTCACTGCTTAACCAAGGAGGAAAACCCCTGTCCCTGGGAGCTCTACCCTAAATCATTTGGAACTGAGGTGATTTTTTCTCAGCCTGCCTGTTTACTTAAAGTTATGCTAGCTCTGATTTAGCAATCAAAAGATTTCTGAGAACTCACACTTGCTGTTTCTCCAAAAGTAAAAGCTTGCTGAAGCTGAGTAAAATGTATAGAATTGATAAGGATAGTAGCAAAGATCCAGGTACAGTGACTTGAAATCCTGGATTTGAGAAGAGGTCAGTTAACATGTCCTTGTATCTCTCTGGAGCATTCATGGCCTTGACTTCCTCCTGGCCCTAAACTGAGAAAAGCCTCCAGGTGTGAAGTGAGAGAACTATTAATTCCCTTTGATTAACTGCAAAGCCCTCACTCTTGTTTAGGGGAGATAAGATTGAAGTGGATGTAGATATGCAGCTGCTATATGGGAGGAAAGTTTTGTGGTCAGGCAAGTTCAAGGCCACTGTCTAGCTGGTGAGGACACGAAATCAATCCTCCATCTGGGAAAGAAAAACCCTCATAGTCAACATTCGTGGCAGTTAAGCAAGTAAATTCGACCCTGAGTTTCATGGCTTATTCTTGTTTTGGAGTAGTTTTTTGCAGACATGCTTTAATTTCAAACAAATAGATTGGGGGTCAGGGGTGGGGAACACACTAATGCCAAGGACACACCATAAGCAAGAGAATCCAGAAAGCCCAACCAGTATGACTCGGTGGTTGAGTGTTGACCCATGAACCAGGAGGTTGAGATTTGATTCCTGGTCAGGGCACATTCCAGTGGGAGGTTTGCCAGTGGCAGTTGATCAATGATTCTCTCTCATCATTGATATTTCTCTCTCTCTCTCTCTCTCTCTCTCTCTCTCTTTCTCTGAAATCAATAAAAACATATTTTAAAAAGAGAGAGAGAGAGAGTGGGAGAACTGACCTCTGACCTTCAGGCCCTTTCTTTAAAAAAAAAATGAGTGCTACCCTAGCTCGTTTTGCTCAGTGGATAGAGCATCAGCCTGCAGACTGAATGGTCCCAGGTTCAATTCTGGTCAAGGGCACATGCTCGGGTTGCGGGTTTGATCCCCAGTAGGGGGCATGCAAGAGGCAGCTGGTCAATGATTCTCTCCCATCATTGATGTTTATATCTTTCTCTCCCTCTCCTTTCCTCTCTGAAATCATTAATACACACACACACACACACACACACACACACACACATACTAGGGGCCTGGTGCACGAAATTCGTGCACTGAGGGGGGGTGTTGTCCCTCAGCCCAGCCTGCCCCCTCTCACATACGGGGAGCCCTCAGGGGATGTCCTAGTGACGGCTTATGTCTGCTCCCTGCTCCCCTTGGGGATAGGGCCTAAGCCGCAGTCTGGCCTCCCCTCTGTGGGAGGCGACTGGGTTGATCAGGGTAAGGCACCAGCCCCATCACCCTGCTGCTGCAGCCACGGCCAGTCACTACAGCCAGCAAGGTTTTTTCAACACAGACTCCAGTCCCTTCACCATGAAAAAATGACAACTTTCTTTAGGCATTTTCAAGATGTGTCTTTCATATAATAATAATTTCTTTATTATTTTTTTATCCTTACCTGAGGATATGTTTCCATTGATTTTTAGAGAATGTGGAAGAGAAAGGGAAAGACAGAGAGAAACATCAAAGTGAGGGCAACACTTTGATTAGTTGCCTCCTGCATGAGCCCTGACCTGGGCCCCAGCCAAGGAGGAGCCTGCAACCTAGGTACATGCCCTTGGTCAGAATTGAACTCAGACCCTGCCATCGGCAGGCCAAGGCATTATCCACTGAGCCAAACCGGCTAGGGCAGGGTATGACATTTCTTAGCCCTCCAGCAGTGGACCTTCGTTTTTTTTCGCCAGGAGTGTGGTGAAAAACCCTAGATCACCTTTTTGGATTCTTATTACCCAAGTTACTAAGAATATTACCAGTGGCATACAGGGAGCTTAACCAACGAGCGGTCAGAAAAGGTGTTTCCTCTGTAGTTCACACCAATAGCCGGCTTGCCCCCCTCCCCCCAGGCCTGAT